TGTGTGTGTGTGTGTGTGTGTGTGTGTGTGTGTGTGTGTGTGTGTGTGTGTGGCCTTGCTTCGGAAGCTGATTGGTGGGTTGGGGGTTGGGTTTAGGACCAAGGTGTGAATTGAGTTTAGGTTAGTTTTAGGGTCAGGTAGGTACCTGTGAGGTTAGCCTTAGGGTTTGTGGTCAGGGTTAGGATGTAGGAGTGTAATGGAAGTCAATAGAATGTGACCAATTAGATAGCTGCGCAAACTTGTTTGTGTGTGTGTGCGTGCGCACGCGTGTCCGTGCATGCATGTGTGTGTGTGTGAAAAGTATGGCAAATTTTTATTTGATTTTGTGAGATCCTGTGCTCCATGTTAGCTCTCAGTGTGACTGTAAAAAATGAAATGTTGGATTTACTTAACCATGTTATGTTACCTGGTTTCACTTAACTGAGTTGAGTAAATTCAAGGCAATATACCAGTTTTTAAACCAAAGAACATGAGTATGTTGCTTCTTTGTGACTCTGTGGCAATAATGAAATGAAGGTTTAGGGAACTCTCAGCAATGAGAAACTCCATCAGGTGGAGTTGGCCCTGATAAAAGGATTTTCGTATAAAGTTTCCATTTATTGCATTTCCCTACATTTTATTTCAGTAATTTTCTCGTCTGAACTTTGAGGATTAAATCCTTTAATAAAAAAATGACATGGTGCCTTTGATGCTGCCCAGCCCTCACGTGAGGCTGTTAATGGAAGGGAGGAGCTCTTCAAAGCCTCTGATGTCACTCTTTGGTCAGCGTCACTCTAACTACTAAAGACAACAGCAGAAAAATACGCAGTGCGTCTTTGCGCAAAGTTTGTGTCCTGTCTGCCCCAAATGCAGCTGAGTCCAAGTGATTCGTTTCATGCAGAATCATTTATCTGGAATGCTCAGGAATTACCTTTAAAACCACGTCGGCCACGCGCGTGTAACGGTACCTCAGCATCACTCCTAAACCAATGGGGATGAGGGTGCTGCACAGGGTCAGGATGATGGCCCCGAACGGCAGCAGGTCGACCACAGGCGTGTTGATCCAGGCCCGGCTGTAGATCCACAGGCAGAGCGGCATCAGAACCAGCGCCAGCAGAGTGGAGGAAATGGTCATGATGATGCTGAGGAGACAAAATAAACAAATAAATGAAACATGGATTTACGCAAAGCATTTCAAACTTAGTGTTCCGTGCGTAAAGGTTGGAGGAAATGCGCACAAAATTACATCCTAATTCAGTCCCGTCATGTTGGTGCGTGGCATGGACCAACCTCAGGTTCATCTCTCCATGAACCAGCAGGGACATGATGTTGGACAGGTTTCCTCCGGGACAGCAGCCGCAGAGGAGAACGGCCATTGCCGCCACATCATCCAGAGAGAAGGCTAAAGCCAGGAGAAAGGCCACCAGAGGCATGATGACAAACTGACAGAGCAGAGCCAGCAGCACCCCGATGGGTCTGCGGATGTGTTCCCCCAGCTGGCTCACCTCCACCGTGCAGCCCAGCCCCAGCATCGTGAAGCACAAGACCAGTCCCACGAACACGTTGATGCCGTGGCTGAGCGGAGAGTCCCAGAAGGCGGGCATCTGGTGAGGAGCGGCCATAAACTCCAGTCCGGCTGTGGTCCGGAGCGCGCTGCCACCGAGGAACACGACACCGTGGGTCAGCCTTAACCCCCCCATCAGTCCCTGAGCAGGGCTTTGATCGGAGGAGAGGAGAAAGTCCGTCAGGTTCTCCATAGCGCAACAGGAGGACTGTTTCCAGCGCCGCTCTGTGCGCGTTAAAAMGAGTCCCCTAGTGGCGCGCGGGAACTAATGAGAAACTGCGGAGGATCCAAAGTGTGAGGAATGGGACGGTGCCATGGCTCTGACTCATCTGGTGCCACAGGTTGGCTCTGCGCTCAGCAGCACCAGACTTTACGCAGAGCTGCGCTCCACGGCTCAGCCTGACTGTCCAGACATGATGCCTTCAGTCTAATGTTTTATTCTCTAACTAAATGTGACTGTGACGTAATGATGATGACGACGATGATGAAGCAGCCTGCATGAATGAAAGTAATACTGAGGTTTTTATTAATGAAACTGTAAAAAATAAAAACGCCCCCTGCCTTTTTGCGGGGCTGTGTTCTTCCCTCAAAGCTTCATCTTAATTCTTAAAACTCGTGGAAAATGAAGAATTTTTTATTCAGCATTTGCTAAATGAAGCTGAAACAGAAGGAAACTGCTGCAGGTTTGTGAAGTTTCTCTTCATGCTCTGCTTTAAATTAAAACAATCTGAGACTTTAATGTTTAAAGAGCAGCAATAAGGGAGGAGGAAGGAATTCTACATAGATTTAGATCNGATTTCCGAGATAAACTCAGAAATTTCCATGATTAACGGCAAAAATTTCGATATTTTAACTAAATATTTTCTGACATTGTGAAGTCAGAAATTTAAGAATTAGGTTTATTGGCCATTTTGCAGATGAAAAATAAAGGAGTAAATCTTTAAATTTTAAATTTAATTTCAGAAATTTTCAAGAAAAAAATTCTCTTATGTAGAAAAGTTGTAGATTTCCGAGATAAACTCAGAAATTTCCATGATTAACGGCAAAAATTTCGATATTTTAACTAAATATTTTCTGACATTGTGAAGTCAGAAATTTACAAAAAAAACTCTATCAGAAAACAAACTGTAGTTTTAAAGGGTGATTCTGCCAGTTTTCACCACCTCAAGCCTCTTTAAACTGGTTTAACAACTAAAACAGAGACACTTCAAACCTGGACTAGATTATTCTACACTGATTGCAGAATATTTAAAATTAAGTGTGTGATTTGTGAAAGATATTGTGAAGATATCTGTGAAACTTCAGTATAGGACGATTTTAGCACTTGTTACACATTTTATGAACAAATTGATATTTTGGTACTATATGTTTTGTACATCCTGGACTATTCCTGTAATAGTGTGATGGACTTGTGACCTGTCCAGAGTGTATCCCGCCACTCGCACAGTGACTGCTGGTTACCAGTGACCCCTGTGATCCTGAAAGGAAGAAATGGGTATAGAAAATGGATGGCTTCACAAATAACTAATAGCCATGACAGAGTGGCTGGTATACAGAAACATCTGTGCTGAGTATGAACTGGAGACCCCTGGATTAAAGTGGGAATCACCTGCAAGGTGGTGGAAAATGTCCGAGCTAAGATCCTGTGGAACTTCCAGATTCAGACGATGAGAGATGGTGGCCAACCAAGTGTTGTGATCAAGAGGACAGCTGTCATGATTGATGAGACCATCCCCAATGATAGAAACACCAGGAAAACTACAGAAATACCAAGGCTCAGGTAAGAGAACGAGCTGGCAGGTACACATGGTCACTGCAGCTCTCAGGGCAGTGGAGAGGTGGCTCCAACACCTGGAGAAACATCTAACTCAGTCCAGAAAAGCTCAGTCCTATGGACAGCTGAGATACTGAGAACCCTCAAGCTCCCAGGCCTCTGGTAGAGGACCTGAGCTGGAGAAGAAGAGCCACCCACCCACGGGAACAGGGTGGTGAGTGAGAATAAATAAATAAATAAATAAATAAATAAATAAATAAATAAA